CCAACCAAAAAAAAAAAAAAAAAAAAAAAGAATATTCTTTTATCTTATTTATTTATTTAAATAGAGACGAGGTCTGTGCTGCCCAGGCTGGTCTTGAACTCTGGGGCTCAAGTCATCCTCCTGCTGCGACCTCCCAAAGTGCTGCGATTACAGGCATGAGCCACCATGCCTGGCCTCAAATGGCAAATTTAAAAAAGGAATGACCCTATAAACTTGGCTTTGCACTATCAAGCACTACCACTTATCTGTTATGTTCGTCTTTCCTGCTACTCTTTTATTACAAAAAATATAGCACAGTATGTTAGAAAAACTTGATAAAGTTTTATAAAAGAGGTAGTCATTTAATATACAAGGGAGGATTCCCCCCAAAGAAAAGTGGAATTATTTTTTGGAGCACAGGCCCCTTGTAGCACAGCTTTCCCTGCTAGGTAAGTATTCTAGGAACCCATTAGCATCAGTTTATCAGCTGGTATTGTTGTAAAAGACTGTGTTCAGCTTCAGTAAATTTTTTTTGGAGATTCTTTCAATACATTTATTTATTTCTTTATGGGTGATTTACGAGCTTACCTGGCCCATACCACACTGAGTGTTCAGCAGTTTTTGACCAAAAACAGCAGGACCCCTGTGCCTCATTCACCTGATCTCCCTTGAGCAATTTTTTTTTTTTTTTTTGCTTCTCTGGATGATAGAAGCCCTCAAAGGGAAATGTTTGGACAATGTGGAAGAGGTGAAAGAAAAAACGGCAGAAGCACTAAAAAAGCATCAAAATTGATGAATTTGAAAACTGTTTTAAGCAGTGGAAAAGCATCTCAATAGGGTATTACATCAAATGGAGAATACTTTGATGACAGAAGTTTAAACATGTAAGAATAAATGTATAATTTTTTATAAATAAATTCCGGGTTTTTGGGGTTCCCCTCTTATTTATTTCAGATTCATCCCAATTTTCTTTGGACAGGCACTACTGGTTTGCTATAATTTCCAAAGTTATGTTTCATAGAACTTTTTCTTTTGCCGCATATACATAGGATAACATTGTAGGTGTGTTAGCACATTAAATGAAAAACTTAGTAAGTGGTCATAAAATTCGTATTCATAGTTGATCTTTTTTTTTTGAATTGGAATTTCACTCTGTCACCCAAACTGGAGTGAAGTGGCATGCTCCTGGCCATCGCAGCCTCGACCTGCTTGGATCCAGCGATCTTTCTGCTTCAGCCTTCCAAGTAACCGGAACTACAGGCACGCGCTATCATACCTGGCTAATTTTTGATTTATTGTAGAGACGAGATCTCATCAATTTGCCTGGGTGGGTCTTGAACTTGCGGGCTCAGGCAATCCACTCGCCTCAGCCTCCTAAAGTGCTGGGATTATAGGCTGAGCCACCGAGCCCGGCCCATAGTTGATCTTTAAATTATGATTTGTGCATCTTCAGTGAATGATGAACCCACAGCAGCCACGGATCCTGAAGAACCTTCTGTTGGTGTGACGTCCCCACCTGCTGCGGCCTTGAGTGTCACCCCGAACCCCAACACGACGTCTCTCCCTGCTCCTGCCACACCGGCTGAAGGAGAGGAGCCCAGCACGTCCAGCACACAGCAGCTCCCGGCAGCCACCCAGGCCCCTGATGCTCTGCCTGCTGGGTGAGTAGCCTTCTGTCCTGTAACAGCTCCTTCCTCCGCAAAGACTGAGGCTCCTTCACTGGGGCAGATACAACGTGGTTATTTATTACCTGGCAATTCGTGGTCTCTGGGGAGGCTGCTGTGCACAGAAGCAAGGGAGGTGTGGAAGAACTGCTTGTTCTACATAAATCTTACAAAGAATCTAAATCACCCAGGGTAGAATCAATGCTACCTTATACCGTGACCTGAACGACTTGACTCAAAGAGTGTGGCTCTTATGGAACAAGGAGTTCATTTTGCCTTCCTGAATCATTGGAGGATGTTTGCCTAGATCCTGCCTAGAAAACAGCTTTTGTCTCTTGAATTTTATCTTATCAGACTTGGGCTTTAGGCTCTGAATATTACCGTGTGTTATCCCCATAGCCAGGGCTGACGTTAACATGGGCTACATGATTTCTTGCCATCTTTTAGTTCAGAATTAAATCTAATGGGTAAAGACCTTGGATGATAAGAAATGGCCCCCACAAACCAAAGGGAAGTCTGGCTGTTTAGTGAGTGGAGATTGTGTGGACCTGGGAATTTAATGGCTCTGGATTGGAGTGTGCCCCTTCCCCCCTCCCTATGTGGCCTTGGCCAAGTGACTTACCCTCTAGGTAGTCACTTGGCCAATTCATGTAATAATCACATGTATCTCCCCAGCAGGTTAAGGGAGGCAAATAAGATGGTGAACGTGCAGCACTCATTAAATGGTGGGCGCTACACCTCGCATGTGAGATTTTTGAAGTAGTCGTGAGGGAGCTATAAAGGAAGAGAACAACTCTGAATGGGAAACAGAGCTTTATCTCATCAACTACCAGTCACACTCAGGGCCAGTCCTGCTCTTCATCCTGGGGTATCTGTTTGGTGTGGAGGGAACCCGTGTCCATATCACTCCAGTCACCCACAATCTGGCTGATATTAGCATGGTGGTGTGTGTCTTCTGAATCCGTCATTCATAAAGGCAAAAGGAAGGATGTAAGGCATCTTGCTTGATGTATAATGTGCTGCATTATTCTTAAGCCACTTTCAAAAACCCATTTGTTGAAACAAATATCCTAAATCTGAAGGCATATGTGATTTTTACCACATGCATATTGTATCCCTAGCACGTGCCACATTACCAAACTCATGTGTCTTTATAAAATATGTAGAATGGATGAAAATTATTGCAAATAATTCTTACTACCTCAAACCTGGAGAGAATTGGCGGTACTGAGAGGCAGCTCTGAAAAGTTTTTTTTTGTGAGGTGTTTGATTTTGTGAAGATTACTAACCAATTGCTTTGTGTCTAACTACTCCCTACAGAGATTTTTCTCTTTCGTATGTGATAAGGAATACTCGAAAGACCTTTGTTTGCTTTATAATTTCAAGTCTGTATGTTATAATTTGGGGGCGGGGAACACAGCAGAATCATTTTGGCAGAAAGGAGAGACCATGACTGCCTGTGTCTCCTGTGAGCTGTTTGTTTTCTTTCCGCTGAGCAAATGCCTGGAAGGCCAACTTCACTCCTGTGTCAGTCACAGGCAATTAGGGCTAATGGCTCAACATGTCTTTATGTAGGGCGTGTGTGAGGGTTACTGTTCTCAGGGATTGGGCACTTCCTGTTTCCAGGCAGCTGGAAAACTCCAGGCTCTGAAAACGCTCTTTATTCTAAGTCTGGCAGATCCAGCAGCCCAGGGAAGCCGGTTCCCCTCCCTCATCCTGCCAGTGGCTGAAACACTTTTCTGAGGTAGAGTCTGAACAGCATCTTTTCCTTGGAGCATTCAGAATATGAGGCCCATGTGTGGGTCTATACGATAGTCTAGAGAAGTATTGGAGACCCAGTTTTCCGCCTGGACAGGGTTCCAGTTGCATATCTCTAAGACAACTGGGAGTGCATCAAACTTTGTGGGCCACCTCAGGGTCTGGAGATGGCTAGTACCTAACTGGATGTCACCACTAGCACTGCTGAGTGTCTAACAGTGAGGTCAGCAGGCTTTCAGTTGGCTGATGGAAGCCAGTTTCTACAAGTGACCCTTCCAATTCATAGCCTTGTCATCCCCATGCCAGCTTATTTATAAGTTTAGGAGACCTAGGCAAGATGGGTTATTAATTTATACCTGGTGTCTTGGCTTCTGGAGTCAGGAAGCCAACGAGAGAATGAAATCTGTCATTCTAATTCTAGTATCAACTAATGGTGCATGTGACAGAAAGACTTAAATGCCATCATGTAGGAAATGTGCCTTTGTTTAAGAGACGGTGTCTTGCTCTGTCGCCCAGCCTGGAGTGCAATGGCATGATCACATTTTACTGCAGCCTCGGCCTCCTGGGCTCAAGTGATCCTCCTGCCTCAGCCTCCTAAGTAGCTGGGATGATAGGCGCACACCACTGTCTGGCTAATTTTTTGTAGAGATGAGGTTTCACTATGTTGTTCAGACTGATCTCGAACTTCTAGGCTCAAGCAATCCTCCTGCCTCAGCCTCCCAAAGTGCTAGGATTACAGACATGACCCACTGTGCTCAACTAAGAAATGTACCTTCTTGAGTTTGTAGAATGCCTCTATCTTTTATGAGGATACATAAATGCAGCATCTAAATTGAGCATCTACTAGTACTCAAGTTATATATACTAGAGATCTTAAAAGATGCATTCTTTCATTAAACAAAATATTTGTTACTATGTAAGAGATGTCAGGCCCAAGGCCAGGCATGGCAGATACAGTGCCCAACAAGAAGTGGTCCTTGTACTCAGAGTGTTTGACGATGCCTGCTCTGGTCACTGAGTTCTCCCCCCACGTCAATTTGTCCATTCCCTTTCTTCCTCTGGGATCTGATGCCAACTCCCAAATCTGTTCTTTCCTAACCTACTGCCTGGACAGCTCCATCCAGGTATCCAACTTGTCTAAAACAGAATTCATCACCTTTTTTTTTTTTTTTGAGTTGGAGTCTTACTCTGTCGCCCAGACTGGAGTGCAGTGCCCGCTCCCGGTCACTGCAACCTCGACCTGCCAGGCTCTGGGGATCCTTCCGCCTCAGCCTTTCAAGTAGCTGGAACTACAGGCACGCGCTACCATGCCCGGCTAATTTTTGATTTATTGTGGAGATGAGGTCTCGTCAAATTGCCCAGGCGGGTCTTGAACCCGCGGGCTCAGGCAATTCACTCACCTCAGCCTCCCAAGGCACGGGATTACAGGCTGAGCCACTGAGCCCGGCCCAGAATTCATCATCTTAACCCACCCCATCCTGGCAAGAATCTGGTCTCCCTCCTGATAATGGTACCATCGTTCACTTGGGTGACCAACAAGCCGCCGTCATTCACCTCTCCCTGTCCTCCATCCAATCATCAGGTCCTGCCTCTGACCCTCCAGATAATGCTCTCTCAGTTTCTCATCCTTCTTTTTCTTCATATTTATCACAAGTGTAATTTAATTACTGCTTTATTGAGTGGCTGTCCCCCATCATACTTGTAAGTGCCATATGGGCTGGTATTGTGCCTTTCTTATTTGCCACTGTGTTCCCAGCACCTAGCACAGTGCTTGGCATATAACGGGTCTCCAGGAAATAGTTAAATCAGTGAATGATTCTAGCTCTTCCTTAACTCTCCTATCTGCGCACTTTGCTCTATGCTTTTACAATATTGCAGACCAAATTACCATGATCTGTCACTCAAGGAACTATTCTTATCTTTCCCCAGTCTATTTAACCTTGTTAAACAAAACTCAGCATAACCTTTCACCACTTAGACTACTGCAGTGGCTTCCTATTGTATGTGGTTCACATTCCCAAATCCTTAATAAGGTGTGAAAAGCTCTGAGTGATAGGACCCCACTTACTCCTAAAGACTTTCCTGAAAGTTACTCTGCATGGCTCCCTGAGCTCTAGCTGTAATCATTTACTTTAGCTTGAAAAATGCACCACCTTCTCTCCAGGCTCAGGGCCCTCCCCCATACTGGTCTCTCTGAAAACTTCCTTGCCGTTTTGTCCGTTAATTCCTATTTCCTATACATTTTTCAAGTCTCAGCTGAATCAGTAATTCCTGGGAATCCTTCTCTGATCCCTGGTAGACAAGGTCAAATCACCACCTGTACTTCCTCTGTAATTCGTCTCACATTTGTAATTGCTTGTTTCATGTTTTTCTGCCCTCCTGGGCTATAAATGCCAATATGGCAGGAAGCCTGGCTCAAAGTAGGCCCTCACTATATGTTTGCAATGAATACATTAATACACTTAAATACTATCTTTTTTTCCCTTTTCTTCACCTGGATGGATATTTTCTGCTTTTTTGATGCCTCAGAGAAGGAGCAGCTATGGCAAGAATATTGCATTTTCTTCCCAAGGGCAAGAACCTTGAGCCGCATGCTGTCATGCACTGGGTTGACTAGCTTTGGGTTCAGATACATATTTATCGCAGGTCAGATGCTCTTCCCTACTCGGGAAGGAAGGAAGGAAGGATCCTGACATGTGGGCAGGTACCATGACACACAGCTTCTCTTAGCTAAGGCATTTCTGAGCCAGGCTAGATTGCTTTCTAAGGCCTCCTGCTGACTCCATGTCTTTCCAACTTTATCTTCTCAACTCCTCAGTATCCTTTACTGAGTGATGGAGCAAGATTTTCTTGGGGATCCCACAGATCTGTTTTTCAGGTTGTTGCATTGCCTCTTTGAAATTTGCAGCAGATGAGACTCTGGCCACAAAGGTTACACACATCTGTATGACTTAACTGAAGGCTACTGAAAGCCGAGCTGCATCAGTCCAAATGCAGCATGCCTCATCCTTCTCTCTCCCTGTTTCTAAACCCTTCTGCTTTCTGTAGCTTTTAATTTGATTATCATGAAAGATGCCAACTGGAAGGGTATGGAGTTTGCAAATGTCTGTGAAAGGAAGGGGGGGTACTGGGAAGATTCGGGAGATAGTGGTCCAGGCCGCAGGCAGTGGGAAGGGCGGCTGCTTTGGTCAGCTGGGCCTGTATCTGGTTTTTCTCAGCACTGAGCCCACTTTGGGGAC